AAATCTTCTTCGTTTCCGATCCCTAGAGCTTCTCATTCTCTTAACTTCGTTAATCATCATCTTGTTCTGTTTGGCGGTGGTTGTCAAGGAGGTAAAATCATCTTCTTAGATTCTCAATTTGTCGAAAAAAGATCGATTTTTTTCGAGTTTTTGTGGTTAGTTTTAGTTTGCTTGATGAGTGTGTTAACCACACGCCATTTGAGATCTTTGTTCCAGGACGACATCTTGATGATACATGGACGGCTTATGTTGATAAGAGCAATCAGAAGATGATGAAATGGAGTAAAGTCGAATCGGGAACTCCGAGTGGGAGGTTCGGGCACACCTGCGTTGTTATAGGGGAGCATTTACTGTTATTTGGAGGAATAAACGACCGTGGAGAGCGGTTAAACGATACATGGATCGGTCGAGTCTCTTGCCACGAGAGACTCACTTGGAAGCTTCTGAATGTTGGACCTTTGCAGCGGCCTCGTCCTCCTCCTCGTGGTGCTCATTCTGCGTGTTGTATTGCAGAGAAGAAGATGGTTGTACATGGAGGAATTGGGCTGAGTGGAGTTAGGCTTGGAGACACATGGATTCTAGAACTCACTGAGGATTTCAACTCCGGGACGTGGCACATGGTAGAGTCTAATCAATCACCGCCTCCGCGGTCAGGACATACTTTGACTTGCATTAGAGAGAACCAAGTGGTTCTGTTTGGAGGCAGAGGATTAGGATATGATGTGCTTGACGATGTTTGGATCTTGGATATTCAAGAAGAGTGTGAAGAAAGATGGGTACAGATCTTCTACGATTTCCGGGATGTTGCAGAATATGCATCGTTGCCTCGGGTTGGTCACTCGGCGACTCTTGTATTGGGAGGTCGGATTTTGATTTATGGAGGTGAAGATTCTTATAGGCATAGGAAAGATGATTTCTGGGCTTTGGATGTTAAAACCATTCCTTCTTCAGGTTTACAACCACAAGGAGTTAGTTTAAACGGATCATCGGTGTGGAAAAAGCTCAACCGAATCTCATATGGACCAAAAAGTCGGTCTTTTCACCGCGCCTGTGCTGATAGTTCAGGGAGATTTGTATACGTGTTTGGTGGAATGGTTGATGGTCTTCTTCAGCCTGCCGCATCGTCTGGTCTTAGGTTTGATGGAGAGCTTTTCATGGTGGAGCTTGTTCTTGGCTTCTCTGACCAAGACAATCAACAAAGACCTGGAAAAAGCATATAATAGTTTGGTGGTTTCTTCTTTTGTAAAATAGCAGGTTTTGTATAAAACAATATCGAGAAATCGAATCATCATGACCGATTCTCTGATATAGGAGAAGCACACAAAGATATGTTTTGAAATTGGAACTTTTTACATAGATTCTGATTCAGTTTACAATATACAAATTGCCATGACAGTGGATGTATATATGTAATGTAAGGACTTGTTTGCATTAGGCTCAAAGAAGATTTGGCACTACAAAATGTTCTATCAAATATAAATTTTCTTGCCTCATCATGGTTTGAGTATCAGTTTGGTTCTCCACATCTCTGCAATGACCTTCCTCGGGGCAGGATCATCTGGTCCTTTGTCTCTTTGTCCTGAGGTGAAGTATAACTGCCCGTCCCAATACCCAACCAGCGTTGTTTTCACACGGTATGGTAATTTACCGATCACATACCATTTCTGTAGAGAAGTAGCAAAATCATTAGTGAAACGTTCTCAATCACGAATCTTAGACAGGTTTGAGCATGCAAGCTTTAGGATTTTACCATTGTATTCAAGTTGAACTGGAAGATTTCACCGACAAGAACCATCTTTTTAGTTTCAGGATGCTTCTCCGTTGTGCCTCCAACGACTACAATGGAGTGATTAACCACTTTCCAAGCGAATTCGATATGTGAATCCGGTTTTGGCATCGATGGCATAACTTTCCATTTCATTGTTTCATCTAACATGTAGACATCACTGAACACCACCTGAACCAAGGTTGAAGCACTCATTATACAGAGCTGGATTAACAAAAGTAATAGCTTAATTTTCCCGTGTAAGGCACCAATCGAATACCTCCATACGCCGTGAGCATTTAAAGATGGGAGATCCAGGTTTAGCCATGAAATCACCTTCTTGACCACCAATCACAAATAATCGATCATCCACTACTACACACGCCCTACAATTCAACACAAAAGAGGATGCTTTAAGTTTGATTTGGACGAATGTTTTGTCCGCAGTAGCCTTTGTAAAATAATAACCTGTGAGGTCCTCCACGAGGAATCGGAATTTCACTTCTCCACTCATTTTCCAACGGTTTGCCATCTTTGACAGCAATGCTCCAATGTTCAAGACCTGGTGTAAACCGATTCTCCTTGCTTCCACCCATCACATGGAGTCTCCCTCTCCAAAGCTGAGTAGCTGGTGCATACCTGAATAGTAAACACTGAACATCATCAAAAGAGAAACACAAAACATAATACGATCTAAAACGTGAAAAAAGACAACTAGCGTTTCCAAATCGTTTCTCAAGGACGGTACCTAGGAACTGGTAAAGGAACAAACTCGTTCCACGTATTTGTATCGGTATCAAGCACAAATGTTTTAGCTGTAGGACCTCTGCATTGCGGACCAAACTGACCGGTAACAATATAAATGAATCGTCCATCCGTAACCATTCCTAAATGAGAATGCGCCATATCTTTAGGCATATCGAATCTCCCTCCCCACGAATTATCCGTAAAATTGTAGATATCAACATGTGAATGCACAAGATCAATAGTTCCATAACCAGCAAACACATATAAAAGATCCCTAATCTGAATCGCAGCACCGTCTAAACGAGGTACCGGTGAATTCGCCATTTTCTCCCATTTCAATTCAGGAGCTGGCAAATCTTGAAATGTTAAAGATAGTTTCCTTTCTTTCACACTCTTCTTCTTCTTTGTATCTTTCTCCTAAAAATCAACAAAACAGAGTAAAAGAAACTCACCACACACACAATGATGCAAATGCAAGCAATTCAAATTTGTACAACATTGAAGAACATGAAACAAAACAAGAGATCACCTTGTCGGAGACGATTACGGTGGTAACGGAGGAAGAAGGTAGAGATATTCCGGCGGACCAATACGAGATCGCGGAGGAGGAAAATCGATGAGAAGTAGCCCAAAGAAAGTCGGCGATCATTCCGGTAGCTAGAAGCGCGATACACGAAACCAACACTACCTTCCCGTACTTGTGCTTCTTCGCCATATCTCTACTCTAAATTGACATAAACCCTTTAAAAGGTTTCTCGAATTACAACTAAATTCGAAACCTTTACTTTGGTTTCAGACGAAATGTCGGATCTTGATCTCTGAGATACTCTGCTCTTCACCATTGTTCTTCCTTATTATGATTAAACCGACAAAATCCAGATTAATAAAAATCGAACCAAACCGGAAATTAAAATGTCTAACCAAACCAAACCGATACATATTGAGATAATTAGACACAAAACAGAGTTGGTTTTGTTTCTTGGATTCTTTTAGTTTACTCTGTTTCAATCTTTCATTATCATCTTCCTTCTTAGCTTCACTATACAA